TTTTTTTTTTTTTTTTACTTTTATGGAAGTAGAATCATCACAAGTGATGATCAAACATTTTTTAATAACACTATAAAATAATGTCTATATTATTACATAATTAGTTTTTGTATGATTAAAGTCAATATAATGTCGTATATTACTGATTTAAATTTTGATTCAGAATTCTAAGGTGATGCTGAAAGAAAACTCTTATTGTGAAGTAAGACCGGAAGCGACGTGCTGGCAAAGTTTGGCCCTCCTTCAGGTCTGGCCTGAATAAAGGCGCTGCGGTTCCTCACGGTTAGAAATCTATCCTGACAGGAGATCCGGAGCGAAGCCGCCTGTCAGTCTGATCCAGTCTGTGACAGCAGTCTGCACACCGACCCTTCTCTCCTGTCTGCACACTTTATGTCCTTCTTTTTATTTGCTGGATCTTAGTGAATCCACCATTGGTTCTTTAGCTAAAATGCCGTTTATTGAACACATATCTTACTCGGACCTGGAGCGGCTCGCTCTGCAGCGGCTCGTCCCGGCCCTGCTGTCCCACGGCTTCTGCTACGTGGACGGGCTCCTCGGGGAGCTGGCCGGGAGCGCCGTGTTGGACCAGGTGGTGGAGATGCACAACTCCGGACAGCTGCAAGACGGCCGCCTGGCCGGCTCCATCCCGGGCGTCAGCCGGAGGAGCATCAGGGGGGATAAGATCGCCTGGGTGAGCGGCTCAGAGCGCGGCTGCGAGGCGATCAGCTTCCTGCTCAATCTGATCGACCGGCTCATCTCCGTGTGCGCCTCCCGCCTGGGAGACAAGGCCATCCAGGAGAGGTCCAAGGTAAGAGGAGGACACCCGGCGGCAGGGTTTGGGGAAATGAATGCAAACAATAGAGCAGAAATAGATGCAAAGAATAGATTCTTCCTCAATGATCTGGAAGGACCAACAACAACAAAGATCAAATGATTGACAGAAACTTTCTCGCAATCATCTAACCAGACTTTGGCTTTAAGGAATACTTTTGGAAACTTGCGGCATAGTTTTTGTTCAGTTTTATTTGCGAGTTTCATGATGAAACTTTCATCTTTCCATCATAGTTATTGGGTTTGACTAAAAGTTAAGACGCCTAAAAACCGATATCCGCGCGCTCTTTGTGGTGTTACATTTTATTTTTGAATAAATAAGAAATCAGCAGAAATCCTTTCGTTTTGACGTCTGTCTGTCTGCCTGTCTGTCTCTCTCTCTGTCTCTCTCTGTCTCTCTGTCTCTCTGTCTGTCTGTCTGATCAGCTGTGCGTCTGAAGGCGTTCAGCTGTAGTAAAGCCAATAATGAGGACATACGGGGGGGGGGGTTAGTGTTTAGAATCCTGACGTTGCAAGTTTGAAACCCACTCCCACAGACTGCCACACTGGGTCTCTAAGTAAAACCCTTAACCCCCCACTGCTCCCCATGGGAGGGGTTAAATGCAGAGGAAAATTTCTCCAATGGGACATAAATTAAGTTCAAATATTTATATTCTGCCATCTTTTTTTTTTTAATCTCTCGATTAAAAAATTTTTATGTCCTGTGCCAAATAAAAATTTGATAAATAGCTAAAAAGGTTTAATAGATTTGTAAAATAAGGAATAATGTTTAAAATCACCATTGTCGTCCTAAAGCGTTAAAATCTGTTTGAGGCTTTTTCTGTTCTGTGTATTTATTTATTTTTATAACGTTTGGCTCAGTCTACATTTAGTTTTAAAACTTTTTTATTTTATTTGCATTTTTACTTCTAGTTATTTTTTTTCTTTTATGGAAGCAAAGCATCATGCAAATCCATCAAGTAATCATAAAGGCTGAGACTCACTTTATATTATAAATGTTCTGATGGCATTTTAGTGAAAAAAATTATTTTTATCAAAAACATAATTAATGTGCAGAAATAAGGAACATTTGTATTAACTACACATGTAAGCAGAGTTTCATGGGGCCCCCAGGAAGTTGGGGCCCTGGGCACCTGCCTAGTATTGCCTAATGTTGGAAGGCATGCCCAGTTGGTGGCAGATAGTATCTGTTTCTACCAGCAGGGGGCAGAATTAAAAACTGAAAGGTTCAACATGTCAGAATAAATGGAAAGAAAAAAATAAAGTTAAGTCTTCAGATACAAAGTCAGTTTTTTGGCTTACAGACAGGGGCGCTGCCAGGAATTTGGGGCCATTGATTTTGGACCCCACCCCCAAAAAAAATTAAAATATGTAAGCTTTTAAACTGTTGCAGTATAAACATGCATTGATTTGTTTCATTCATTATCGACATGTAAAATGATGCAAGCAAACTGCCGGTGACCGACGTGGAGACCTGATGCGATTCGGAGGTTTTGGTCGGTATATTTGTGCTTTAATTTGCTCTTTACTGCTTAAAAATTAGGGAGAAAATAAAAAAATTAACAGGGAAAGGGACATTTTTACACCCGATTTATTCATCCTAGAGTGAGAGGAGAGAAAACTGATACGTCTCAGGCTCATCAAAGCACTGTAGGTGTGTTAAGGTCAGAAAGGATCACTTCATCATCCAAAGATCACACTGCTTCACCGATATTACACACTGCTCCCCTACTAGCAGGTGCTGATTGACAGGCGGTTATATCACTAAGCATTCATGTTTTTATTTATCCTTCTGACTAATGGATAACTGTTATGAGGTGGATCCATCGCATCAGTTTTGTTTCCATAGGAAAACAGAAACACATGTGATTAATAGGGATGCACGATATTGGGATTTTGGCCGATATCCGATATTTTAAAACTCATGTAGCCGATAACCGATATCGATACCGATGTTAAAGCTGGACAAAAATAAGTAGTCATTGAAAATAGCAGTTTTGTTATCCATTTCTGACACTTTGAAAAATAATAAACTCAAATATATTTTCATATGCTGATATCAAATAGATTTTTAAAAACGCGGTATCGATCTATTTTACTTTCAAAATCTGGTGAAATTTCATCCTTCTGTTACAAACTCTCGTGATATTTTGCAAATTCTTGTGAGATTTTGTTAGTAAAATAGATCGATACCGCGTCAATATATCAACATATAAAAATATGGCAACATTTGGTGAATTTTCGGGGGATTTCGTAGCATAACGATGACATATAGCAATATTTCATTAGTAAAAGAGATTGATATGGTGTTTTTAAATGGCAATAAGCAGATGTCTGATAAGGTTGCCCTTATCAGACATCTGCTTTTGGGAAGGGGGGTGGGGAGGGGGGTAGTATAGATCATCAACATTTCCTTGGAAACCAACCAGAAAAATTGTCTTCATTGTCTTCTCTGGTTGCTCATAACTGAATGACAAATCCTGCTTCACCTGTGAAACGATCTAAATCCTTTTCTATTGTTAATAAGTCTGAACACAATCACTTTGGATGAAGGGTTTCCAGAGCTGCTGGCAGACAGGTCTTAGTTTAAATGTGACAACAGTGGTTTCCTGGAAATGGTTCCCCCCCCCCTGACACCAGCAGAACATAGAACCTATCTGCCTAGAACTTTTTAGGAAGTGCACATCTTCACTTCCATTAGTGTTGATCCCTGCTGCAAACTGAAATGTTCCTCATAAAGGCCACGCTCTACACTGCAAAAACTATCTAGAAATAAGCAAAAGATCTTAAGTGAAGTGTATTCACCCTTAATTTGAGTTGGTAAATACGATGATTTGCCAGTTAAATTAGTAGTTTTACACTTAAAATAACATATTTAGATAAAATGCACTAGAAATAAGATAATGCAATTATTTTAAGAAACAATGACTTATTTAGATTTTAATGTTTTGCAGTGTAATTAGCTTTTTTTTAATAGTCTAATCAGCCTAAAAGTCTGTTTATGAAGCTAAGAAATGGGTAGGTGAGTTTAAGGGTTGCAGTGAAACATGTGGGCGGATCTTCAGTGAAGGGAAACTCCACGCGCCGCACGTAGCTCTGTTATTAAACCATCAGCAGGCTGGACATCAGCCAAACTCTTCCTCACATTCCCACTTCACCCAACCCCTCCCACCTTTCCTTGCAGAGAAGATAAGATAAGGTTTAATTTAAACGCTGAGTATCTTTCTCCAGCTGTTCTCCACTTCCTCCTCACCCGGCTCCTTTGGCCTCTATATTGTTTTTATTCAGTCTGTGTGGTGAAGACCACCATAAAAAAAAAGAAACGCTAGTGTGGCGCACGTTTGCGTACGTGCCTTGGCTCTGGTGAGTAAACAGCCTCGCGTGATCGTCCTGCTTCCGCTCAGCAGGAGCAGCCCATCATGTGGGATCAGTGCAGTGGCGCTTTATCAGTGCTGGGGTTTGTTGTCAGCAGCAGCAGCGTGTAGAGAGGCTTACGTAAAGACAAACACGGCTGAGTTTTCTAGTAAGATGTAAAGATAACAAACACAACATTGTTGTAAACACTGTCGTCGTTCGTTGCTTTGGGCCTTCAGGCAGACCGAGCATCATCGGTTACCCGTTTCTAAACCCAGTAAAACCCATTAAAAGGAACCCTACAAGATAATATTTCAAAGAACAGGCGAGGAATATTTCCTTTATTCTGGCTGAAAGTCCAAAGGTTGGGTTTTTTATTGACCTTGACCCAGCCTCATAATCGATAACCATCTTCTGCTCTCAGCAAAACACACTTCCTGCTCAGGTGGAAAGGTTGAAGCAAATCAGGAAGGTAAACAAGTCTTAACGTCTTCTCCTCATAAACAGGCTTAAACATGTAGAAAAATCAATGTTTTCAGCTTAATTCCAAGCAGGAGCCTCTGAAGACTAAATCCATCAATATAAAGATGTCAGTTTGTGGTAAAAAAGTTGGTGACGTCTGAATAATAACTTCTGCTTTGCACCGCTGGTCAAATGCCAGATGTATTGCGTGAAGCACAGTTTTGAGTTTGGCTTATTTTTAGACGGATCACTGAGGAAGATTAATGCGTACGTGATCCGGGAGTGGATGTTGCTCCAGGATACGTTCCAAAGTTAACCCTCATATAACCAAGCTTCCATAGCTGTCCTACAAAGTCTGAGACAATTTGTCCCACAAATAATTCCCACTCACTCCTGAAGTCTTTGGTTTTGTTTTCGGTAGTTTAAGCAAGGCCTAGTTTAATAGCGAAGCCAGAAACACACAGAGCCAAGCTAGCATACTTGAACCAGCGTGTGGACTACTTGTGTTCATGCAGGTGTGCTTGTGGCTCTATGACACACCTGATGTAGGCAGAAACGTTAGCAAACGGCTCCACGTGCAAACGGCTGCTGCACAGGAAGCTTCCATCATCTGATCCAACTGATATGCAATAGCTTTTGTTTTGGTGCTGATGGTGGGAGGTCCTCGCTTCGTCATTCATCTTCCACCATAAACATGTTTTTGTCATCATTAAAATACCACAGCGTTGACTCTAAATTCCCATAAAAAACTCGTAATGACTTCCGACGTTCTGATAGTTCCCATTTCAAATAAGAGATGACATGTGGTGTGAATTGCTGCTATAGAAATAAACTGACTTAAATAGTTTGCCTGTGTGTTTGTCTTTAGGCAATGGTTGCATGCTACCCAGGAAATGGGGCAGGTTATGTGAAGCATGTGGACAACCCAAACCACGATGGACGCCATCTTACCTGCATCTACTACCTCAACAAGAACTGGAACCCAAAGGTACGCCGCACACCTCTACTGTCGTCGTATAACGCTCGGCTCCTTTCAGTCGTTCTGTATTAACGCGGCCGTTTGTGTCGATAGGAGCACGGCGGAGTTCTCAGGATCTTTCCAGAAAGTAAACCTTACGTGGTTGACATCAAGCCGCTTTTCGACAGGCTTCTGGTCTTCTGGTCTGACCGCAGAAACCCACACGAGGTGCAGCCGTCCTATGCCACCAGGTAACCCGGAAGTTTTCTTGCTCTTTATATTTAAGAAATGCTGTTTTTGCTCTGTGGTATTTGTAACCAAATGCAAACGTTTAATGCAGCCTTGTATTGGTTTCAGGTACGCTATCACGGTTTGGTATTTTGACTCTGAGGAGCGAGCCCAGGCCAAGAAGCGCTTCAGAGCCCTAACAGGTAACGGGAACACCTGTCAGCTACTCTGTTTGCTGTAGAAACCATAGAAATAGAATATTAATCTGGAGATACTGAAATACAAGTTTGAGGATGCATTTTGGTGAAGGTCTGACAGTCAGTAGAGGCAGGGTATTAAAACCTATAAGAATTTAATGCAAATAAATAAAATAAATTATAATGCATCTAAAAACTGTACAAATGCTCTGAGGTATGTTTTCTTTTAATCTGTAACTAATTAAACTAAGATATAAAAGGGCAACGGGTAAATAATGACAGATTTATTGCAAGTGAATATATTTTTTTAACCAACAGAGTTTGTTCTTGACATATTTAGTGGATTATTAGACTTCAAAAACAAAACTTTGATTTGCTCTACTTTAGTTTATTTAAAATGTTCCTTTTTTGTTTCAGCCTCCACAGAGCAGAAGGGCTGCAGCTCTAGTTGATGGTGAGAAAACACTGCCATCTAGTGTCCGTTTGGAGAACCGCAGACACCGCTGCGCAGCTTTTTAAAAAGCTGGACCAAGACGGTGGAAGAAAACGGAAGTTGAATTGTTTCCAGGGCCGAGGAGGCGTGGGGGGGCTTGTGGTCTCCCGTTTTAACTAAACATGGATTTCTAACGTTGCTCCGACCTTATCCAGGCTGCAGCAGAGCGGGACTGAAGTCAAATCACCAGAGGGCTTCTGGACAACTTCAGTTTTTTCTTTGGAAAAGTTCATGCATCGCTCTGCCCGCTCCTATCTGGGGCCCCCATGATGCACCAGCTCTCAGCCTACGACACAGATTTCATTGTATTATGTACAATGAGAGTTAAGTTGGTGGAATGGAGTTTACATGATTATGAGGATTGTGAGCCTATGTGACAAACGCCTCACAGCTTGTTTTTCCACCAGTCTTAAGAAGTTGGCACATGAAAATGCTGCCTGTTTACAAACTGGGAGAAAAAGGCCGTTATTTCCTAGTGTCTGAATAAATGCTAAAAAAAACAGGCAGAAATAGACATTATAAAAGCTGACAAGAGATTGATTTGGATACTTTTTTTTATATGAAAATATTTGTTATAATTTCCATACTTTGTCATTTGTTGTCAGAAATGCACTGCCTCTGCTTCTAATGCAGGAAACAAAATTATAAATCTTTTTACAAACCTTTATTTTTACAGGTAGTCTCAACTGAGACATGATTTATAAGTTAGGAAAAAGAGAGCTGTATGGTTCTATTGATGTCTAAATAAAGAAAAGTTCTGAAAGATATTTGTGTTTTGTTTTTACACCTCGCCTCTTTGGACAGAACCTTTCAAAAACAAGTCAATAAATAAAAGTACTTCTTTATTTCTTAATGAAAAGTCCCAAGAGAATCATAAAAGTTGCTCAGTCTGTGGTAGTGCAGCATATAAAATAGTAATTCCTGTTTTGCATGTACTTGATCGAAGCAAGAAGGACAAACTGATTCCACTTATCAAGTAACGTTGATTGAATCCGTGTGAACCAGCTATCAAATGGTTTATTGATGAGAGGATGAATACTACCGTTTCCTCCATAAGAAGTCTCTACAAAATGTTGAGTTCCAGTCACCTTAAAGCGTAATAAAGTTAAAGGAACAGTCCAGTCGGCAAGGAATAATCACTCATTAATTATACGTAAAACGAATATTTAATGAATTTAGTGTTAATCAGTAAAAAAAAAAAAAAAGATTCGTCCAGGAGCGGCCATTTTTTTCCCAAATATAGTAGCCCCTCCCTCCTGCCATCTTCCAGCAGTGACGTCACGGTGCGGTAAGCCTAGCGCCATTCTCCCCGCTTTACAAGCTAAATCAATGGGAACTACTAGACACATCTGCAATCAACAACAATTATTGAAGATTTCCAGAGGACTTCACCATTGAAATTCACCAGAGCTATAGTGAAACTGACAATGCCCACGTGCATGGCAGCTGGATGCTGGAATACATCGGGTAAAAGTGAAAAAAAGAAGTTATTCCACCTTTCTGATTCCTGATCCTCCACGGACGGGTTGGTCGTTGGATCGCCAACTTGAAGAGGGAGGATTTGCCATCGAACTTCTGGCCAGAGAAAAAACCCGTAATATGTAGCCAACATTTGGAAGAAGAATGTTTTCAAGATGACTTGGATAATAGCGCGTTGTGACAAACACCAGATACAGCACTGGGACTTGATCAACAGCCGATACCGCACCGTGACAATGTCACTAACCAGTAGGTGGCAGTAGTGTTCTTTGACAAACATGGATGCCTCCAGTAAAGCACATTCACATGAAAATTACTCTGAATTAAAAACACTGATCATTTATTGAACAGGATGGAATCATTTCAGATTTAAAGTAGTTTCAGAAGTTTGGATTCTGAATATGAGCGACTTTTCCTTTAAAACATCCTTTTAGTAGATTGGGTTTATGTTAAGGGCTGCATGGTGGTGCCGCTTGAAGCATGCATGGAGTTTCCCTGTTCTCCCTGTGCATGTGTGGGCTCTCTCCGGGTATTCCGGCTTCCTCCCACAGTTAACTGTCAGGTTAACTGGCTTCTCCAGATTGTCCTTAGGTGTGACTGTGTGTGTGCATGGTCCTGTGTTACCCTGCAACAGAATGGGGGCCTGTCTAGGGTGTACCCCAGCTTTCCACCATAACCTGCTGCAGATAGGCACCGGCTCCACTGGAACCCTGACGAGGACTAAGCAGGAGAAGATGGATGTTTGGACATGATGCTGAAACAAAAACCTTTTCATCGTTAACCTTCTAGCAGATGCCTCAAGAGTTTGGATCAAAATGTAATTCAGTGACACGATAAATCATTGACAATTATGCAGTTATTTTTAATAAAAAGTTTTATTTAAATCAATGTTTTAGAAATAACTGAAACATCATCTTTGCCTCATCTGTATTTTATATCCATGCAAGCTGCCTGTGTGACCAGATATACCAACAAACTGCTCCTGATCAAGTTATGTTAATTCTAACAGCGAACTCACTAACTGTTGGGAAAAGCTGCTCAAACAAACAGTTTATGAAAGAAACTACTGACTTGCTAAGTGAGAGAATAAGTGTCCTCCATGTAGATAGACTCAGGAATAAGGAATAGTTCACTCTCACACTTTCACTATGCCAGCGTGTGTTTATTTCATAATGCTTCCTCCCTGAGATAAAATATCAAAAATTATATGACATCAAGTAAAAACTACAAATGAATTTTCAGGTAAATTACATAGAGCAGTCTAACATTTAATTGTTGCTGGGCTGCATTAAAATAGTGTGAGTATACCCATTTCTACGCTACTCCTGTAGGTTCACAATGCAAGCGAGTATCCACTGTCCCCAGATGCTCATCCACATGCAGGAGTTAATCCTGCAATTAATGAGATGCTTTCCTTAGATAGAAGAGTTAATACCAATCTACCTATGATCTGAGCGAGTTGTAAAGTGCCTTGAGGTGACATTTGGTGCAACATGAATAAACTGTCACTGAGCAAACTACACTCACCGGCCACTTTATTAGGTACACCTGTCCTACTGCTCGTTAACACTTAATTTCTAAGCAGCCGATCACATGGCGGCAACTCAGTGCATTTAGGCATGTAGACATGGTCAAGACAATCTCCTGCAGTTCAAAGCGAGCATCAGTATGGGGAAGAAAGGTGATTTGAGTGACTTTGAACGTGGCATGATTGTTGGTGCCAGAAGGGCTGGTCTGAGTATTTCAGAAACTGCTGATCTACTGGGATTTTCACGCACAACCATCTCTAGGGTTTACAGAGAATGGTCCGAAAAAGAAAAAACATCCAGTGAGCGGCAGTTCTGTGGGCGGAAATGCCTTGTTGATGCCAGAGGTCAGAGGAGAATGGCCAGACTGGTTGAAGCTGATAGAAGGGCAACAGTGACTCAAATAACCACCCGTTACAACCAAGGTGGGCAGAAGAGCATCTCTGAACGCACAGTACGTGGAACTTTGAGGCAGATGGGCTACAGCAGCAGAAGACCACACCGGGTGCCACTCCTTTCAGCTAAGAACAGGAAACTGAGGCTACAATTTGCACAAGCTCATGGAAATTGGACAATAGAAGATTGGAAAAACGTTGCCTGGTCTGATAAGTCTCGATTTCTGCTGCGACATTCGGATGGTAGGGTCAGAATTTGGCGTCTACAACATGAAAGCATGGATCCATCCTGCCTTGTATCAACGGTTCAGGCTGGTGGTGGTGGTGTCATGGTGTGGGGAATATTTTCTTGGCACTCTTTGGGCCCCTTGGTACCAATTGAGCATCGTTGCAACGCCACAGCCTACCTGAGTATTGTTGCTGACCATGTCCATCCCTTTATGACCACAATGTACCCAACTTCTGATGGCTACTTTCAGCAGGATAATGCGCCATGTCATAAAGCTGGAATCATCTCAGACTGGTTTCTTGAACATGACAATGAGTTCACTGTACTCAAATGGCCTCCACAGTCACCAGATCTCAATCCAATAGAGCATCTTTGGGATGTGGTGGAACGGGAGATTCGCATCATGGATGTGCAGCCGACAAATCTGCGGCAACTGTGTGATGCCATCATGTCAATATGGACCAAACTCCCTGAGGAATGCTTCCAGCACCTTGTTGAATCTATGCCACCAAGAATTGAGGCAGTTCTGAAGGCAAATGGGGGTCCAACCCGTTACTAGCATGGGGTACCTAATAAAGTGGCCGGTGAGTGTAGTTTTGGTGAGGTTTTAAATTTGAACTTAACCCTATTTTAAAATAGATTGAACTTTATTGATCTCACATTGGAGAAATTTATCTCTGCATTTAACCCCTCCCCTTGGGGAGCAGTGGGCTGCCAATGTGCGGCGCCTGGGGAGCAGCGTGGGGTTAAGGGTCTTGCTCAAGGAGCCAGAGTGGCAGTCTGGGATTCGAACTCCCAATCTCAGGATTCAAAGCACTCTGCCCTAACCACTAGGCCGCCACTCCCGACATTTAGCTTCTCTTACTAGAAAGTAAAAGTAGATAAACAATTTTCTTATATGTAAATCTTGCCGAATTAAACCTGCTGAGTTTCCTGAAGAATCACAATATAAAGGAAATGAAGCAAGATTGGACTCTAGAGATACAACCATGATATATTTGGCCTTGATATTGTAGATACAAATTGGACTTTATGGTCAACTGCATGGGGTTGCTCAGTGACACAGTGGGTAGCATTGCTGCCGGTTCTGGGTTCGAAACCCGGCCCAGCGTCTTTCTGGATGCTCTCCCTGAACATGCGTGGGTTCTCTCTGGCTACTCCGGCTTCCTCCCACAGTCCAAAAACAGGACTGTTAGATCAATTGGCTTCTCTAAGTTGTCCTTAGGTGTGAGTGTGAATGGTTGTGTGTCTCTGCGATGGACTGGTGAACTACATTCAACTACATTAGCATTCTTGCCAAATATTTTAAACACAAATACAATGAAGTGTCTTGAAATGTTTCTCTCTATATTTTTTCTTTAAATTTGATTAAAGTTAAAGAATGGAGATCTTATTATTTTCATTTTACTTAGCAGTTTAGTTGAATGTTTTATTTCAGCTAGTTTTTTAAGTGAAGCATTTTAATTGAATTTGAATTAATATTATAATCAATTAATATTTTTATCAAGCAGTTAATGTTTATTTGGTGTATTTGTATAGTGCTTGTTTTTTAGAAAACCACTGCACAAATTCAGTGCTTCTCAATTATTTTATGACACCATACTTCATCAGGCAGGTATTCATAAAATTCACATTCTTTTTCAAGATATAATTTTTCTTTTCAAACATTGATGATCACTTTGATTTGCGTACAGAACTTAATTTTAGCATAGGCATGTATAAAACAGCAACTTTTTTGGTGATGTCAAATCTAATACTAGAAAGAGGATAAAAGCAACAGTTTATTACAAACAGTTTATTTTTTACCTTAATAAAACAGAGTAAATCAGAGCAGTGTGCTGTGTGTGTACTGAAAACACACAGTACAAGAGCTGAAATTGCTAGGTTGGCTGTAGTTCCATTTCCAGCCTCAGGGTGTCACTGTAACTCTACTCTTCATCAGCTCAGGGATACGATGTGGTAAATACAATTAAACTGCTTTGTTATTATTTTCTGGACCTAAAAGAAATATCTCCCATATAAAACACACAGGCTAAGATCAAAATGAAAATTATTTTTTTTATTAGGTTAATAAGAAACACAAAGATCCATTGTTAACTCAAACTGAATAACCTTTCAAAATAACA